TCGCTCACTGAAATAATGCAAATTTGAAAGAAGTTGAAAGAGAATTATGAAATTTGCAAAATGCATTCGCTTTTGAATTTTTGATAAAATTGAGTATCTGTCATGTCTACGTGCAAGGAAATTTACCTCTGAACTGAATTAAGACCATGTAAACACAAAATATTCTTGAAAAGTTTCAGCTTCACACCCTGTCTGGTAAGTGAAATAGTCACTTCATTACAAATATCTTTGAAATGCCCGAAATTGTGAAGCAAGTGCAAGTCAAAATTCAGTTTAGGTGTACGATTTTCTATTTGAATAATAAATACTCTGACAAAATTTCAGTTACTGTTTTCCCGCTGGTTTCTGAGTTAGCATAGCGCCAACTGTGAACTTTGACGTGACCGTACGCATGGTGTGAGCGCGCGCTGTAGCTAAACTGAAATTTTTAGTTCGTACATGTACATAGAATATCCCTGCGAAGTCTCAGCTTTCTAGCCGTCTGGATCACGAAATCGTTTCCGCCAAAGTGTTTTTTCGACATCTGTACGCGAGATCTAGGCACGTAGGAGCGAAGATTTTAAAACGGGAGAGTGCCACAGAGGGTGGAAATATGCGCCCAAAATTCCACCCCTTCCCTCCCGCCTCCGGCTTCCCCAGTTGCTAAACTGAAAGTAAATGACAAAGCTCATTCGCTTACGAACACACATACAGGCGGCGGCCTCTCGGCAATATGCGTTTTTGCTTACATGCAAATGCAAAAACGCATTTTGTAACTACCCCCGTGTGTGTGTGTGTGCGTGTGTGTGAGTCTGTCCAGATATTTCAACTCGGCACCCAAGCAAGCTCCGGCGCCAAAATTTCGCTAGTGGGTTCCCTAACTAAGTGCCACCTCAGGACTGCGGTACCAACCCCCACGCAAGTTTGGACTCCGCGTACAAGAGGGCGAAAGTTTTGGCGGGAAAGTCGCCAACTCGGAAATCAGCAAAGCTAGAAAGCTGAAATTTTGAAATTATGTTTCCCATCCAAATAGAACTCAAAGGTTTCAAATTTAGCCTCCAGATATGCGTGGTTCCCGCGTATGACCCCATGAGGGTTCTTAGCACGAAAATTGCTAACTTGTAAACTAGGAAAGTTAGGTGGCTAAAATTTTCAGAGAATGTTCCCAGCACAAGTGCAACTTAAGTTTATCAAATTCAGCCCCTTTGGCATGCGTGGCTCTCACGCACGATCCCGTAAAAAAATGACTAATTCGGGAAAAAGGAAAGCTGGGGGTTGAAATTTTAAGGTTCTCCCTCCTCCTTCTCCCGCCCACAAAAGTTAAAGATATCAAATTCAGCCCCCAGATACGTGCGGTCCTCATGTACAGACCCACAAAATTTTCTGGCAGGAAAATTGCTAACTCAAGAACCAGAGAAGTTGGAAAGTTGAAATTTTAACGGAATGTTCACTGTCAAATCACTGCTTAGACAATTAACTTCCCGAACTTCGAGGATCAGTATGTTGCAAATCCTAGCTACCAGATTTCCGAGCGATCTCATTACAGCACGAAATACTGCAAAAAGTTATGATCACACGGGCCCGCCCGGCGCGCGTCGCCAATACTATAGCAGCGCTACACGCATAGAAAACGATTTTGCACTTTAATTTTTGATATCATAATGACGCACAGACGCACGAGAAAAAAAAGTTTGAATTTAAATTTCTTGGCCGTCACTTAGCAGCGAACACCAATTAAAACTGCAGCTTTCTAACTCGCCTGATTGTTGAGGTAAAAACTTATGCAGTTTTAGATTTTACATTCCCATGAGCACTTCGTCTAAGGCATTGTAAAACTGATTCATACTTTTTAGAATGGAGGTTCAGATTTAGACCGTCCTCACAAAACCGTAGCCTTCTGGCTTGTCCGATTTCAGAGTTAGAAGAATGCTAACAATTTTGCAATCTGAACTTTGATGTGTTTGTGCGCCAAACGTATCTTACGTCCATGGGGCCAAACACGGATGAGTAGAATTTTAGAATTTCAAATTCATAGCTTCTCTCGTTGCATTTAATTACACACACATACACACACATACATACATACACCCAAAAACAGGTGAATATATTATTGCGCTTATGCATCCTGCTACAGCATAAAAACACATGGAAAGTGATAAATGTTGAAGAAAGAGGACGAAGATAAATGTGGAGAGCGGGGCTTCCTGGTAGAGTTCGGCTTCCGCTGCCAAACCGAAACACCTTCTTGCAGTGCTTGAACTGTCACGCCTCTGTTGCTTTCTGCTCCTAATTTTTCATTTGATTTTTACAGCACAACAGATTTGCCGCTCTGACCTTTTGCTTCTTTCTTCCCTCGCTCATCACACCGTTAACCACCTCTAATTTCTACGACTCATACCTCATTTCCGCAAGCGCTCGACATGTTTTTTAATTTTTCATCAGTCTTTTTTTACACATCGTCAATAAAGTCTCCAAAGCCTTGCTATCACGCACCACAAGTTATTACATTGTATTCTTCAAGATGATATGGTGTTTTTCAGAGCAATCATCCGATTTGAAAATTGGTCGAGCGCGTACGGAACAGCGGCAGCACACCCACAGTCCTCTTCCTCGAAGTGCTCAACTCTCCCCCCATTCGTTCCTCTCCGCCAGCTGAAATACAGCTAACAAAAAGTGTTTGTGATCTAGTATTTCAATCATCAATTCTATTCCGATAGTACTATAACGTCTACTATACGCTCATTCAATCATTACGTCGCTACGGCCGATCGAAGAGTCCATCCGGTTCGTTGTATCGGTGCGCATCAATTTGCTTCAGTTTTATTCTCGACATGAAGCACGCCCTTCCCAGAGCATCTGAAATGCTCACCAGGGACATGTGATGAGCTAAAATTGGATCATTTGCATGCTGTTTTGAGGGATTTTCGCTTTTTCGACACAGGTAAGGCTTCGCTTTACATCATCTTCCAACAATTATAGGCTAAACGTCGTACACCCTTTGCATCTCCGAACTTTATTTAATCTGAACAAGACAAGATTGTAAGAATTTTTTGGCATGTTGCCAAAATTGTGGGCGTTTTAACCGTTCCGTGGATGTGAGCAGCAAGTAAACGGGTCATTGTCTGCAAGCTGAAATCAAGCGAAAATTTCTTCACTGTGTTTGATTTTACTATGCTTTCCACAAACGATGAGCAGCTGTGCTGACACTTCTGAAATATTTATATTCAGTTTCACAATACGAAGAAAAATACGCTGATATTCAAATTTCACAATGCTCAGACTTTGTGCTAGTATTAAAATTCAGGACATGTGACAAATATGAAAGTTTGTCTAATTCTTCTAATCACTTCGATTGCTCAGTCCTCATTTTCTGGTGAAATACATAAACTGTAAACGTTTAAACCCACGTAGCAAAGCGGCCCAGGTTTTCCTCTGTGACCGTGCATTTTTAGAAGTTTTCCATCTCGCTATGCGAGATGGTTTCGGGGTTGAAAGCTGCTATTACTTTTATCTTGCCCCACAGTGTCAGACATTCAGAATTTCAGATTTCTTACCTTTCTGAATGCCGACAGAGTAGAATGACGGCAGCGTTACAGTTTGAAAATTTGTCGCTTGTACGAGAGGCGCCCATTAGCAAAAGCTCTTTTTACGCTTGCTGGTAGCCAGCGAACAGCAAACATTCTCAGAAAAACTGTTTTCTAATCAGTCTGATTACTGAATTAATTGGCGCTAAAAACCTCCCAAAATACGCGAAATCTAGGCATACTTTAAAGTTGAATTTTAAGTCGACACTGGCATAAAATATCCTCGTAAAATTCAATCTTCTAACTTGACTATTTACTAGAATCATATTTAGTTAAAAGTATCCTTGTTGTGTTCGAGTGTTTGACCTGGGCATACACCAAAGTTCACACCTTGGCTACTCGCACATAAAAAGAAAATATCCTTATAACGCTAAGGCACTCTAAAGAGCTTGTTTTCGAATCTGCATTTTGCTAATGATGTTTTATTTCCAACCTCGATGTACAATTTCAGTTGTCAATACATGTGACGTAGGTATGCGAAACAGATGAATTGATATCTCTACTTCACACAGGTGTATAAAACGTCCCTGAGAAATTCCAGCTTCTTGTTTGTCTGATTCCCAAAATCGCTTTCTCGCCGAAAAAAATTCGCATGTTTTCTTTCTGGCGTCCGTGTTTGAGAATTATGCGTATGTGAATGATAATTTTAAAACGATAGGATTACACATGGGTTAGGAACATGCTCCAAAATTTTTCAGTTTCTTAGTTTCTCTGGTTGCTGAGTTGAAAATGAGTGACAAAGTAAGAACATATACACGCACCAGCATGACCGAACCATAAGGTCGGGAGGATCAACAGAATCGAACTGCTTGTGCAATATGCGGAAGAAGCATGACGATTTCGGGATCAGTTTATTTTGGAGCTTTTTCGTTTCCCGGAAGCATTTGACTTAAGGAAGCACGCATGCCTACTGAGATTTATGAGATGTTCAGTAGATTCCACGGCACCCTGTGCAACTAGTGGTCTTTGTTTTCAAGAACTTGTTTCTGCTCACCATGCGTTGGCCGGCCGCTCAAATGATCAGACCAGCAGCTACGTGTATTCGCAATACAAACTGCAGCAGGCTGCTGCTACTGCTGTTGCTAATGCTACTGCTTCTTTCGACTGATAACAGCACGGGAGCATCCCAGCTTAATTAATCAGCAGCTTTCTCAACGTGCATCGTCTGGTGGTTACTAACGACAACATCAATCTTGACAAACTGATGATACCACCCAAAACGCAAGATAAACAGGAAAGGAGCCAGCGAATGCTCTCTTCTGGCTGTCAAAACACCCTACCGAAGAGAAAAGCCCGAGGCTTGAGTGATTGCAGCTGAAAGACTAAGACCCAAAAGCATGAATGTCACTTGTCCCGGAACACATTCCCTTGCTGGACTAATTGTTGCATGAATATTTGTATCTTCAAGCTTCGCTTGATATTTATGCGGTGTTGCAGGGTATTGCAAAAATGGCGCAGCGGCAGCGAGGATATTTGCTGCGATCGCTATCAAAATCAAAAATTGCCAAGACACTGGCCGGCATGGATATGGAGCAGTCGGAAGTGGTTCGCATGGATCAGGGCAAAACAGCTCGACGTGAAGGACGCTGCGTTTTCGAGTGCTCTTGGGAAGTTGCTAATAAAGTTTGTACATCCATTTATTTCGTGATGTTAAATTCGTCTTAATCTATACGCTGCTATATAGTGGATAAATACTTTTTTCATTGATCTGGGGTTTTTTTTTTGTTTTTTTGTGGATGGAAAGTATGTTCTGTGCTTGTGGCAGTTTGATGAACAAGGAACAACAGCGATGTTGACAGTATACTGACAGTCATAATGTTTTTAATATGCTAGCATACGTTTTTTGAAATATTTGAGGAGTTTCATAAGAAGTGGAAAATTTGGACTTTGATGGAGTGTTACTATAAAAACTATAAACTACAAAAGATTTTTTCAAACGCTTATCGTCAAAACTATAAACTAAACTATAAAAACTAATTTGGTCAGATTCATTTTTTTTTTTCAAACGCTTATCGTCAACCTCACCTTCTTTGGATTGCACACTAAAGAAGCAGATCAAGTTACGGAAAAAAGAGAACAGTTATTTTTGCAAGCAACTCATCAGCTTGCAGTGTTTCAGGTGGGCGGCATCTATACAGTCTTGCGTAGCAAAGCACCGATTAACACTGAAGAATACGGAGATCAGTACTGCTTATTGGGTCCGCTTCGTGAGGGCAGGTGGCAGCTTGAAGTTGAACAAATTGCTCCCGAAAGCCGACATATCGCTGCTGCCATCGAAAGACTCAGTGAAGGAGGCTTCAAGGTTTAATAAGCCTTATGACAGCATCTATAATGATTATAAGAATACTGCATCAGCACAAACATACACAATGGGCCTCTTTACAATACATTTTCAACAGCGTAATACATAACACTGCGTTTTGGTGGATATTTGCATAATAACATTCCAGGCTGGAATGCATCAGACTTACTGGTACGGTTATATGTTTTTGCACCAGACCTAAAAGTACCTGGGTCGTTAAACGCAAGAATGCTTGTTGTTTTACACCTATCTTTTGCTCTCAGTAGCGCAAATTATCGTAAATTATGCATAAAGCGAATGAACAATTTCTGTTTAAAGGTTGTACTTTGAGAAAGACCTAGCTGTTCAGTGAGCAATTTTTCCGCCAAAACTTTTAAGTGCCCATAAGTGAGAGACATACATGCATACTAGGATGCTGAGTTTGAAATATTTAAGTTGTACTTGGACAGTGAACATTCCCCTAGAATTTCAGCTTTCTAGCTTTCCTGGTTTCCATGTTAGTAATTTTCGCGCCAGAACTTTCACAAGCCCACACGTGGGTAAGCGAATACTGGGTAGTTGGACTTGAAATTTTTAAACTGTACGAGATTAGAAATTTCAACTTTTTTAATTGCCAAGTTAGTAATTTTCCCGCAGAATCTTCCACTTGCTCATACGTGAGAAGTACGATCACACAGGGACTGAATTTGAAATCTTTAGCTCACACATGCACAGAGAGTATTCCTGCAAAGTTTCAGCCTTCTGTCTTTTCTGGTTCCAGAGATAGCTTTCTCGCCGACAATTTGCATGTTTTTTAAGGCCAAAGCGTACACAGGTGATAATGTTAAAACGGGAAGGTCGCACACGATGTGGGCACATACTCCTGAAGTTTCAACCTTCTATCTTTTCTGATTCGTAAATCGAAATTGGGTGACAAAAAGTGCGAACATACAAACACACACACACACACACACCTTCTTGCCAATATGCGTTTTTGCATTTGCGTATACGCACAAGCACATAAAAAGAGTTAAATCCCTTTTTTTGCCCCCAGCTCCCCTCCACTTTCAGAGGTAAGCGGTGTTTTTTAAGCTCTTTTCTGAGGATTGATAGTGTTTTTGATGTTTTCTACATTGTGACATACATTGTACGGCAGCCTTGACAGTAAAAGCGAAGATTCGTCATTAGTGATGTCATTGGGACGCACCACTCGCCATTTTCTTCTGTCCTAAGCTGCATGTCTCCAGGCAGTATCTCCAGTCTACTCGATGTACGTATGCCACTTCTCGACGCTCCCCGAACGGTCATTTACTTTCTTTTGGAGACAGTTCATCAACTGTGTGACTTTACCGATTGTTAACGAGACAAGAAGAAGCATGTCAGGATCATTCAATTACTTTCTAGTTTAGCTACGTTGACAATATTCTGCATAACTATCTAATAATGGGTGTCAGATTGCTTTGGACTGCTTATAAATACTTTACATTCCCTCTGCTCCACCGCCTTCTCCGCTGAACCTAGAACTCGCTCTTCTGCTTTCGTCCGCTCTCACGTTTTGCATTCTTACATCACAACTTTTAACAATGCAGTTACATCGGTAAAAAGGTGAGCAGCAATTACAGGCGTGCAACTTAGGACCGTACAGCCCTGTGGTGTTATACTGACTGTGTTGCCATTTCAATAAGTGCGCCAACATCGAATCCATAAAGTTATATCTGAACGTCTTAGTAACTTGAAACAGCTTTAGCAAAGTGTTTTTCAACTTCTGTTGTCTTTTTTTAGCCATGTACCGACTACATCGATCGAAGGGAATCCCCCAAATTTGCCTCTCAAATCGATAATGAATTAAATATTGACGTTGCAAACTGCGTTATTTTTCCTCACAAGCACAGAAAGGGTTTCCTCTTATTAGCACAGCACGGATTTGAAGTGCAGGCTTGCCGGAACAAGATTTCAACAGATATTGTGGACATTTGTGCATAATATATATCTTCCGTGGCCTGTAGTCCGACTCACATCCTCATTTTTAAGCGCCTCAATTTCAAAATGACGTTTTTACTGCTCTGCCGTCGCTGACCAGGCTGACAACGAGCCATATCCACATAAGCTTAATCGAAAAAGAAACGGCTTGGTGTCTTCCTAATATTTTTTGAATTGCCGGGTTTGCACCTCATCCTGCCTTGACCTTACCTATTTCGGTGTCGCTTGTGTATCATCTGGCGCGAATTTTGTGAAGTATTCTTTATGGAATAAATGAAGTATTTTTTAGTTTCAAAAAGCTGTCAAAATCACCTCCTGACCAAATTTTTAAAACAGTAATTTCCTCCGGAAAAAACTCCATTTAGAGCAATTTCAAGCTAAGGGGATGCTCAGTGCTAATTTTTGGAGCTGGTTTTTGTAAAAATAAGCTAGACTTGATCGTCCCGAAATAGAAGATGGCTATGGGATAAGCAAAGACACAGGCATTTTCACTGTGATAGTAACATGGGTTTATAAAAATAAACTGCATATCAAACGAAGAATGGGTTTTAGGCTATTTACGGACGATGGTTGATAGATGGTTACCCGAAGGTGATTTTATTTGATCTTGGCTCCGGATCTGTGAAAATGAACGTTTGGAAACAAGAGCTTTTCGAAAGGCTGGTTTTACGTAGGTATAATAGATGGGAATTTTTTACCAGTTTATAAGACATATTTCTTAATGTCGCTATCTCTGCAGTCGCCTTTTTATTTGGTTTTTTGCTACGTCAAGGTAAAAACTCAGTTTGTTCGAAGCATGAGATATGTAAGACATGGAAGTGGTTTTATATTTGCGAAACCATCTTCGTAAAGTTACAGCTTTCGAGTTATTATAGTTCTCGAGATGGTCTTAATTTTATCCGTACCTACATGAGGGTTAAGTTTATGTGAAGGATGAATTTAAATTCTCTGAGTCGCACCTAAAAAGGAAAACTCTTGTAAAGCTTCAGTGTTCTAGTTTGTCTGATTTCTGAAAGCGCTTAGCTGCCGAAATACCTTTTAAATGTTCGAACGTGAGACGAAGAGGAATAGGGCATTCATTTCACTTTTCTGAAATTTTAGCAGTGTAGCCTATTTTTCCATAAAGGTGGCCTGTATTGTCAGAATTTCAACTGCACAGCTTTCGTAGATCTGGAAACTGGAATATGCGGATAGGCACTGCACAAATACATGCACACCAACACACATACACATCTATGTACATACATACACAGCATTTGAAGACACTTTTTTGCATAGCATAAACATAACGCATAAAAACAGGGAAGCCAACCAACTGACTCGCATTTTGTCTTTTCCAACTGGTCTCATGTTCAAATTCAGAAAAATTTTACTAAATTAGAGCCAAAAAAGATGCAGTCCTAAAATTTCGGGAAAAAAGTCGTTAGTCATGCATAAGGCCAGAAATCTGGAAAACAGGTTTTAGGTCGAGGTCCCATTACTTCGCAGAGCTCATAAAGTAAGTGCAATACTTCGCCATTAGAAATTGTCGATTCTTTTGAGTTCAATATGTAAGAGTATTCGACATACTATGCAGTGCGTTATCTTCATCTTTCAGCAAACACAGAACTGCTTCCAATAGAAAGTGAGCGATTTAGCGCAGCTAAAATGCAACCACTGTCTTCCGTTTGCCGTGAAAATCACCATTTTCAGGTGCCAGATTGGAGTTCCTCATGAGGATATTGAATCCAATGATGCTGTAATCCTCGGCTTCATGATTGCTATGTTCCTCAGGCACTTCATTGATTCTTACAAGAATTCTGGCTATCATAGTCTGGTTGTCGCGCATTTCCATGAATGGCAAGCCAGTAAGTGTGCCTTTTTGCCACAATTGTTTTCTTTCTTTGGTCAAGTAAAGCTTGTCATTTTCTAGCTTGTAATGCTTATAGATAGCTTTTGGTGATTTTTTTTTATCAGCTGGTTTTTAGGGTTCTTGTATTTTTATGTTAATGCAGAAGCGCACACTGTTATGAGGTTTTCTGTGCATCTATCTGGTGTGTTTGTGTTTCTATGTGTGTTTACTGAGAGAAGAATGAATTTTGTTACCTACTTTCAACTGAGTAAGTTAGGAAACTGAAATTTTATGAACATGTTCCCATCCGATACGCGGTTGTTCACGTGAGCCTAAGTCACACGTGCGAGCGCTTAAAAGAAAATCAAGAAATATTAGCTGAAAACGACTCCGAGTACCAATCAACACAAGAAACTAAAGCTTCATGTGCCCTTTTGCTCCTGTGCTGCCTGCTTCCAGTTACACCCATCGTCCGTACCTTGTGAGTACACTGACTGTGCATAAGCTTCGCGAGCGGTCGTCTTTCTTCATGCAGGTGCTCTTATTGAATGCAACGTCTATGCGTTGCCATCAAAGCGAGCAGCACGTTCTGTCCGTCGAATATTACTTTTGTTGTTCGTAGCGATTTTCTGCGCGCTACTTACGTATGTTTGTTTTTGTGATTATGAAATAATGGACCAACAAGATTGTACGCAAGCCATGTTTATGGTGTTACTTTATGGGGCAAATTGCCTTTATCTTTCAGATGTAGTGGGGTGATATTTTTCAATGCAGTCTGTGTTTCATCCC